GGCCTCGCCTCCCCCCCCCCCCAGCCACTGGGGGTGGGATGGGCAGGGCTGGGCCCAGCTAGACACAGTGAAGCTCTCCTCCCCCAAGCACAGGAGAGGGGCAAGGGAGGAGGCTGCATGACTTGCAGCTCCCTGGAACTCTGGGCGAATGGGAGGCTGCATGGCTCACAGCTCCCCGGAGTCCCTGGAGCATGGGAGAGGAAAGTTCATGCTGCTGTGGAGGGAGGGGCTGCAGGAGGGTGATTGTGTTGTCACTTTGTCCCACAGGAAATCTTTATTTCATATATTTCATAATCTTTATTTCACATACACGTGTGTGTGTGTGTGTGTGTGTAAGATGGGGGCGGGGTGGGGGGGGAAGGAAACACAATATTGCTAGATCGGAATAAGACTAGTCAGAAAAGTTAATGTGAGATTTGCCATTGTACTTCTAATTTCAAACTTCTTAATGGGATGACAATCAATGTTAATAGCCTCACATGGATTATAAGAAGTTTGTCATTCTTCTCCATTGATTTTTGTCTGCTTTTACAGAATGAAGAACTTAAGGGTACAGACCTTCAGCATTCACTTTGGTTTTAAGAACAAGTTTTTAGCAAGTGATATAGTTTATGCAACAGCTTCTCTAATGGAGAATATAGAGAAAGATGAACCTGGAACTGATAATTTTATCAAGGCTTTGGATAGTCTTTCAAGGTATTGTGCACATGATGTGTTTCTCATAATTTATTTTCTTAACTTTGGTTTTCATAACTGAAGGTTTAAGTTAGTTAAAATGTTTCTTATAGAGGATTCAAAGCAAATACCTTTTTTTAGCCTTAATCAAAAGAATAACTAGTTACTGGTAAGCACAGCAGTCAGGCTGAGCTGAAGCAGCCCCTGACTGTAGTGCAACTTGCCTAGCCTGGTTGGAGCAGTCCACTTCTCCACAGTTAACCGGCTAAACATTGTGTTTAATGAGTTAACTTATTAAATGACAGTTTACAACCCTACTTATGAGTAGTATTTTAGAAATAACTCCATTTAACAGCAACAAAAAAATCATGTAAAAGTATTTCTCTTCTCCCTGTTCTGTTACAGGAGTAACCTGGACAAATTGCATCAGGGGCTGGAACTAGCCAAAAAACAACTGCGTGCCATTCAGCAAACTGTAGCCAGCTGTATTTGCACCAATCTCGTAATGTCTCAGGGGCCTTTTCTCTATTGCTATCTAATGGAGGTCAGAATTATGTACTTATTCCTCCTTGTTTGGCTTCTTATACTGTAACTGTCACCAATGGTATGTCAAGTAGATAGGAAAGTTTGACCAGAAAGCCCAGAAGAGCCTTAGCTTCTGTATTACTCTGTCAATATAAGATGATTAGAAATCAAAGATTCCCCCTTCACTCAACATATTTAATACAGTTAGGCTATGTCTATGCTACTTCATTTTGCGCAAGAGGTTTTTGCACAATAACAGTGTGGACATGTTAGTTTTTGTGAAAAATGGACACATCCACACTGCTTGTCTTTGCACAAAAACCTCTTGCACAAAAGGATCAGACAAGATTATTCAAATGAAGCACAAGAAAATGCTAATAAGTACTTCATTTGCATTGCCTGTTCCACAAAAAGTTCATAATGTAGACATAGCCTTATTGGAGTAGGGGGGGCTGAAACTGCTTGCTAATTATTTGTTTTCTTGATGGATGGTCCTTAAAACCAGAGATGGGCAAACTTTTTGGCCAAAGGGTCACATTTGGGTAAGCAAATTGTATGGTGGGCCATGAATGTAGGAGTTTGGGGTACAGGAAAGGACTTGAAGCAGCGGGTTCAGATCTTGGAGTGGAGGTACAAAATGGGAGTATGTGGCTGTATACTGCTTACCTCGGGCAGCTCCTGGTGAAGCAGGGCTAAGGCAGGCTCCCTCTCCTCCTCACCCCATGTTAGCCCTATGCCTCTTCTAGTAGCAACTGGCACATCTGGCAGCGGCTCTTTGGGGTGAGAGGGCAGGCAGCTCTGTTCACTGCCCTCAGCTGCAGGCACTGCTCCTGCACCTTCCTTTGACCGCAGTTCTGCATTCCTGGCCAATGGAAGCTGTGAAGATTGCACCTGCCAATGAAGGCAGCGTGTGAAGCCCTCTTCCTGACCCTTGGGGCCTTCCAAGGGATGCAGGAGATGTATTGGTCACTTCTGAGAGCAGCACAGGGCCACATCAGGCAGGAAACCTGCTTTAACCCCCATTGCGCCACCAGACTGGTACTCTAAGAGCTGGATTAAAAATCTTGATGGGTCAGATGCAACCTGCAGACTATAGTTTGCCCACCCCCTGCTTTAGAGTTTTTATGCACCTCCCACCCTGAAAACTCAGCAGCCCTTTTGGCAGCACTACTTTTTAACTCTGTTTCTATTTTAAGATAGGAATCAGCCTTGACATAGTATTAGGCTTGATATTCAATTCAGCAAGGTGATCAATCCTTCTACAGTTGACTCTTGTAATAATTAAGGCAAGGCCCTTAGGGTTTTTTATATGCAACTGAAAATGACTTTAATGGGAAACACTTTTTGTTAGTATTTCTTGAGTTGCATGAAGTGTGTGTTTTATTTTGAACTGTCATTAATCCTAAATATGCATTAAGGATGTTATTACCTTAGGTATAATTGAGTTAACTTTTTTTTCCCCAGGGCACTCCAGATGTAAAACTGTTTTCCAAACCTGTATCTCTGTGCCTGCTCAGTAAATATTTACTCAAGTCATTTGTTAGCTCTGTAAGTAAATCAAAGACATACAACTAGCTAATTTGTGCTCTAAGTACGTAGTTTATAATTGTTTCTGTGGATTATGTAAGAAATGGATCACTGGATAAAATATTAATCTGACTGAATAGTTAGGTAATAGGGCACCAATATACAAATCATGCTGCATGGAAGATTCTAGTTTGCAGGCCTACATAACTCTGGAGAGTTCTTTCATCCCACTGGAGGGAGCTGACATCTCATCATATAGGCAGATCATAGTAATTCTATCTAAAATGGTTATCTCTTTTAATAAACTTATCATGACAAAGAAATTAGCCTAAGTGTAACACTGAAAACAATAGAAAATGCAGGATTGGTTAAGTTATCTAAACACCTGGAACATTTTTATTTATTCCTCTAAATAAGTATTTAAAACAGGAAACCTTTATTCATAACAAACCACAATGAATTTTAAGCAGTATTTACTCAAATAGTCCTCATTTAAACTACATATACGTAGTCTAATTTTAAACCCTGTGCTCTAACATGCCACCCAATGAAAGAGCATTGCCATACTTTACAAATAATATTATTGTGTACAATCCTCACTCTACTTATGTTACTTTTTTTTCCTGAAATTTTTAGGCTAAGACATCTACCCTCTAATGAGTTCCATACGTATTGATTCCTCTAGGGGGCTAGTTGCTGCACTAGAGCTTAATCAAAGCTCTTTTCCTAATTTCTTTAGGTTCCCAGCTCTCAACCAAGGAGACTGTTATCCCCAGGATTATCAGACATACTAGGATCCACCTCATATCACAACAGTTGTGCTATAGCAGGGTGGTGAACCTCAGACCTGGGGACTGGATTTGGCCCCCTGCTTGCCTGGATCCAGCCTCTGAATTTCATGGCTCCTCTGGCATTGGGGAGCCTACCCTAATGTTCCAGCCCCCCGTCACTCCACAGTGGGGACGGAGCACACAAAATCTACTGGGTTGGGCTCCTCTGGGCTCTGGTATATGAGGGAAGTGTCTTTCTGCTTCTCAGTTAGGGACCACTTCAGCAAGAGTTTGGTTTTGATCTTTTAATTCTCACTTCTATGTTGCCCCAACTGATTTTTCTGTGGGTAGGCAGCCCCTGACCCCAAAAAAGGTTCCCCACCCCTATGCTACAGGATAGCCATTTCAATGCTAGCTGTAAAAGAATTTATATCTAGGGATTTTATGTCATGCTGAACACTTGACTTACTAGACTAGACATTCCTAAAAATAAACCTAACATTCTTAAATCACCACCTGATTTTAAAGATTAAAGAGGATAAGGTTATCAAAGTACTAACCTGATAATAGGGACAATTTTATCTCTGATAAATACAGATCAGATAATTTCCCCAGGAGCTCTCCACTATTGCAGAACTGTGGAAAGGTGAGGGAATAATGAGGAAGGGAATAAGTTTAAAGGAGTCAAACTTAGTTTCTTTTGTGTTTTAGAGAAAATGAATGTTGTGCTGTGTGTAAGGGTATGTCTACACTTGCAACCTAGTTCGGAATAGGGCTGCAAATGTAGGCATTCAGAATTGCAAATCAAGCCCTGGATTTAAATATCCCGCGCTTGATTTGCATCTTGCCGGCCGGGCGCCTTTTTTGAAATTTACAAGCCCGGAATAACTGCCTGTGTCTACACGCAGCAATGAAACGGGTATTTGAAATAAAGCCCTATTTCAAACTACCTATTAAACTTCATTGCAGGAGGAATAATTAATAATATTTAAATCCTGGACTTGATTTGCAATTCCGAATGTCTGCATTTGCAGCCCTATTCTGAAATAGGCTGCAAGTGTAGACATACCCTAAGTGAAAAATTTTGCATACATTTTACGTACGAAGGTGACAATGCATGCTTTTAATGAGAAAAGGCAGTGTTCTTCCTTACTGGAAATGATATCCATAGCTTCGTATCTGGTCTGAGTTCAAATTGAATGTACGCTGAAATTGAATGAACAAGCACTGTAAGCTTCTGCCACGAATAGTAGCAGCACCTCTGGATGCTGCACAGGGTGCAGTTACAGAAAGAGGATTTATTTTCCCCCTTTTAGGTTATTTACTGCTGTGCTTAAATTGACTAGATTTGTCACAGGTTTCTTTATATGATCTCCTTTCTCAGTTGGTCTGGAGTAGAGTTGACTTTAAGTCAACATCTTTAGTAATACCCCACATGCAGATCTGAAGCTTGATTGTATCCTCTCTGAGCTTTTTGTCTAACTGAAGGACTTTTTGTCTTCCAGACAAAAAACAAGCGCTGTAAGCTTCTGCCACTGATAGTAGCAGCACCACTGGATGTTGAACAGGGTACAGTGATCATGGTGGGGATTCCTCCAGAGACAGAAAGCTCCGACAAAAAGAAGTGAGGGTATTCTTTGTTTAGTATCCTTTCTAAATGGCATCAATTAGTTTAGCCTCTTTACTGATAAATGTATCCCAAACATATTTTTACTGACAAATGCTTTGATGCCATTGTTAGCTTTAATGATAAATTGTACATAATTTAAGTGTCTTGCTTTGGGTATTTAGCTATGAGAGTGAAGTACCTATCACAGACCTCAGGCAGAGCTCTCTGTATCTCAAAAGCTTGTCTCCTAAAATCAATAGAAGATGATCCAATAAAAGATATTACTTCATTATCTCTTGGTCTGGGTAATGTAATATAGGCAAACATTTCCCCAGTTCTTCATTTTTTTCTGATTTGTTTGTTCATTTACCTTTAAACAATTAAATATCTGTTCAGTAATGTTTTTAAATGTAATAATTCTAACTATCCATATAAAATGATACGGTCTAAATCCATTGTTACCTCTCAAGAAAGACATATTAGTCATTGAGACTAGTTCTCTGAAAACATCCACTCAGTGTGCAGCGGCAGTCAAAGTGAACAGAATATTGGATAGCATTAAGAAAGGAATAGATAATAAGACAGGAAAATATATTGCATCTTTGTAAATCCATGATACGTACACATTTTTGAATAAAGTAGGCAGATATGGTTGCCCCATCACAAAAAAGATTTTGGAATTGGAAAAGATATAGAAAATGGCAACAAAAATGATTAGGGTTGTGGACCAACTTCTATATGAGGAAAGATTAATAAAACTGGGAATTTTCAGGTTGCAAAAGAGTTGACGAAGGGAGATACAATAGAGATCTATACAAATTATGCCTGGTGTGAACAAAGTGACACAAAAACTAGGGGCTACCAAATTAAATGAATATGCAGTAGGTTTAAAACAAAAGGAAGTATTTTTTCATGCAATGCACGGTCAACCTGTGGAGTTCTTTGCAACAGGGTTCAAAACTCTGTAGTAACCAGGTTCAAAAAAGAAGTAGGTAAATTCATTAAGGATAGGTTTATTAATGACTATTTGCCCATATGATCTCGTGGCAATATTCTCGATCGAAGCACTGGCACCTTATAGACTGTCATCATCCGCTCTCAGGATCAGCATGATGTTCTTCTCACGTGTGCAGTGAGTAGCGCTGATGACTGCTGGACTGATCACTACCTTGCCTGATCCACTATGGCAATTAGGATTGTCACCAAACAGAGAACTCAGAAGAAACTGATCCAACAAAAGATCAACATGCAAGGCTTGAAGGACCCCACCAGACAGTCACTTCCAGATAGCGCTCTAAAGGAAGTACACCCTGAAGACATGAAAACACTGGTGTTAACTGAAAAATGTCATAATGGGAGCTTGTGGAGAAACCATTGTCTACCAGTCAAGGAAGCCTCAGAACTGGTTTGATGAGAATGATGTGGAAGTTGAACATCTGATTGAAGTAAAAAGGAATGCCTTCAGGGCCTGGCAAAGCAACTTCAACTGCACAACGAAGAAAGAAGCGCAGGCCAAGGCAGAAGTCCCATGCAAAACAACGACTCTGAAAAATCAATGGTGAACAGAGAAGTCACAAGAGCTCCAACATCTCACAGATATCAATGATACGAGAGGTTTCTTCAATGCTGTTTATGGACAGAGAAACCATGGAATTAATCCCCTGAGATCAAAGGATGGTACCCAGCTCTTGAAAGACAATTAAGCCATTGCTTCTTGTTGGAGGGAACACTTTTACAAGCTCCTGAACCACCCCTCCACCATAGTCCCAGGAACCCTTGACTGAATCTCTCAGCAGCCGCCTATGGACAATCTTGCAATGCTTCCTACCCTGAAAGAGATTCAAGCTGTCATCAAAGCAATGAAGAGCCACATGATGACGGAATCCCCGACAAAGCCTTCAAAGAAGGCAGACCGGAGCTCCACAAACAATTCCATTTCCTGATCTAGATCTAGAATAGGGAAGCAGATACCACGAGAGTTCAGAGAAACACTGATTGTCAGTCTCTTCAAGAAGGGCAACAAATTGGACTGTAGAAGCTTTTGTGGCATCTCCATCCTGGCAATGGCAGGGAAAATCTTGCCAAATGAACTCCTGCCACACACAGAAGAAATTCTTCCAGAGTCTCGGTGTAGCATCCAACCATTCCGAGGCTGCTCAGTCACTGGATCATTTGTGGAAACTTTTTTTAAAAAATTGTTGTCACAGACAATAGAATTAAATCCTGATAATGTAGAAGCTTTTGTGGCATCTCCATCCTGGCAATGGCAGGGAAAATCTTGCCAAATGAACTCCTGCCACACACAGAAGAAATTCTTCCAGAGTCTCGGTGTAGCATCCAACCATTCCGAGGCTGCTCAGTCACTGGATCATTTGTGGAAACTTTTTTTAAAAAATTGTTGTCACAGACAATAGAATTAAATCCTGATAAAGCT